GTGTCTGGCTCTTCTGTTAAATGAGGTTGAGCTGTACTGTTTGGGTTGTCATATGAAGTCGGAATGATGTCTGAATCTCCTGAAAACCAATACAAAATTACCCTGACCCACAAGGGTATATTATATAACTAATAATAAGATTATTAAATTAGATTATTGTATTATGAAGTAATATGTATAAATTTCACTTGTATTATTTATTACAATCTTTCATATTATACTAGTACGGATATGTCTAGTTGCAATTAAAACAAACTTATCCTTAGTTAGGATAGATCTAATAATAGAAAAGTAATTAATATGTTCAAGTTAACCTAACAATTTGATCTTATCAATTAACGACTAGAAATCAAAAATCACTAGAAGATCGTTCCGTCTAGATATATAATGTCATGCGGAATTGTTTCCATCAACGATCATTCGTTTAAAGTTACTTTTTATATGGAGTAACAGATTTTGATGTTATTAATTATGCCAACTTTTCTTTACTTGATGTTGACGATTATACCACTTTGAATAATAAAAAAATATTTTTGCTTAGTGGATATCATTTTTGAGTGTAGGTAGCTGGTTATAAATATAGTTAAATAAGAACTATCCTTAATCGTCTTTAGTTTTGATCTCATAGTCCATATTGAAGAACGGATGTTAGTTAGTTGTTTTACTCTAGTATGGGATCTCACACAGGTTCGAATATAGAACATTTGGATTTGACGACGAGCGGTTAGATTTTCGATCATTTAGTAGGACACAAATAGTTTACAAGTCTAACTTCAATTAATTTTCGATATTGCTTTACCATCTGTTATTGTATGCAATGTACAACTGTCTCACACCTTTAATAGTTAGTCCTCACTAGTTACAGCTACTCACTGGGAACTTGTGCGTTTGAGACCATAGGTCCTGAGTTCAATACTTGATGTTATTGTGGGTGAACACTTTCAAAGAATCCCATATTAAAACAAAAAATCTGTTCAATCCTTACTGCTTTTTACTTTTTGTCTAGCTAAGATCAGTCTATGATGTAAACATTTAACCACTGATGGTATTTGTACCATTTTAGACACTATTGAACTCATTTCAACTCTGTTATGTCTTGATAACAATGGTGAATAGTAACTTTGGGATCCATTTATGGGCCGATATTATGCATATAGTTTTTTTATCGTATAATGACTAAATAACTAAATTATTCATATTCATGTTCCCCTTATCATGAGCTTTATTTTGAACTATAAACTATTATTATACGATTTTACCGTTCATGAATTGTACCCAGTCTATTGATCACTGTTCCCCACATTCGCAGCCACATTCGGCTAAATTTTGTACAGATGTTATCTCCTACTTTATGGTACGATGTGGTCAGTTTGATTGATATATAAACTCAGTATGTTTGAAATACAATGGTTCATACCGCAGAGTCTGTTATGGAGTTAGCTGACTAGACTAGGCAGAAGCAGTACCGACAAATACTGTAGACTACTCATACGGTTTCCGTGTGTTACTGTTCCAATCGATAATTCTCTGCTCTCTAATTGGCGGTCATATCACATCATACGTTAACAAGGCATCCACTCGGCCACAAGTTATAACATACTCTATCATGATTAACATCTTTTGAAGCATCGCAAGTATTATGTCAACAAGTTGTACAGATTGATAATTATTCATTGTTACAAATATAAGACAAAATAGAAGAAAGAGCATTCTGAAGAAAAGGTTTATGATACTAAACTATACAAGTAGTTCAATTTATAAATAAAGTCGTAAATAAAGTCACAAATTATTAATTTTTTTCTTAATTATAAAAAATTATATTATTCCACATATTAAAGTTGCTCAACTTCGTGGATTAGTTGAAGTTAGACATTAAAACCATCGGATGCCAGCTCAGTGATCTATCGGTTAAGTACTCTGGCGTGAGACTGGTAGGGTTCGAATCTCTAGCGAGGCGAGATCGTGGATGCTCACTGCTGAGGAGTCCAACAACGAAACGAAACGGCCGTCCACTGCTCCCAGGTTTTCCTTGGTTGTCTAGCTTCAATTGACTCAGGCTTTCAACTATGAAAATACAAAAAATCTCCACAAAACCCCTTCTGATTATTCCATATCGTTGATTCTTTCACTTTATTAAGTTTCATATGAAGATTTCATTAGTTTTTTCTCTTTTTCTTTTTTTTTCTTTATTACTTTCTATTATGATGTAATTATACTTTTATTATCCTGTTCATAGAATATTTTATCATTATTATTATTATTATTATTATTATTATTATTATTAGTAGTAGTAGTAGTAATAGTAGTAATAGTAGTAGTAGTACTGTAGTGAACAGAACACTCGTTGGGGACAATCGAATGTATTTAAGCAAAAGTTACAGACTATCTCAGTAAATTCCGATAATCAAACAATGAACAGTTAATTTGCAAATTAACAACCAGTTGTTTCAATCTTCACTGTTTCTTCTCTTATTCCATTGCTCATGCATTTTCCAGACGATTGCGCTTCATTTCAGTTCTTTCCTCATCGGTCTTCTGCGAAAATACATTCTATGTCTGACCAACACCATATACTACTTATATAGATATAAGTAGACAACACCACAGTACCACTATTTGTCTACTATGTGAGATCAATAACTTTGATTAAATAGATGAATTTTATTATTCTTTTAATCATTATTGTATATCATAATTAATTATTCATATATATGTATATAGTAAGATTTGAAAGATAATTATATTCTACTGATGTTCGGTTTAGTTTTATACATTTCATTTGATTGTATTACGTATGAATATGAAAATTTTAAGATTACAATCAGAGAGATTTTATAAAGATTATAGTAATTTAATAGTTGAGTTCATGAGTCAATTATAGATAAAAAAAAATAATCCCCCGAATACCCTGGTACGGTCGAGAGTGAGGAGAGTCCGCTCTCCTTCTCGAAATTCTCTCACATGACCACGCGTATAAAGCCTTTGTCAGGGAAGTCCTGCTAATTGTCTTCTCGTGTCTTCTTTCTACAGGTTGCATAATTAAATAATTATCTTATTTTCATTAATAATTTCATTTGGTTACTAGTTTTATATCCACTTTATAATAATTGAAGTGTCTCAAATCAATCAAGCTTATTAGCTGCATATATTTTTAAAGCATTTGAAATGACACAAACAAGTACAAATCATACTTATGGTAAAGTTAATTAGTTTCTACCTACGTCCAAGAATGGGGAGAGTCTGCTCTCCCTTTCCAAATGCTCTCACATGGCCACGCGTATATAGCCTCTATCAGGGAAATCCTACTCACTGCCTTCTCGTGGCATTACTGTGGTTTGCGAAATTGAGAGGACGAAAAGCAAATCTCCAGTGTTTTAACCGTGTTGGTGGATACGGTGAGTCCACCTAGGAAAATTGGGAAACCCTGATTCCAAAACAATCGTGCACATTGGTTCCAATATTCGAAGGGAACAAATGGCGTATGAATCAATTGTTGGTTACTGACTACCATGGGACTGCGTCTCCTTACGATGCTGCTTTGTGGATCAGAGCTTTAGGTCATAGGCTCAGTGTGTGCACCCGGACAATATCATAGCCTTCACACGATTAAATGAAATGACATATTTTGATGTGCGTCTATATATCTGGTGCCCCTTTGTGCCAATATTTATGTGTTCAAATAAATAAATGAACAAATGGATAGTAATCATCATATTTTTCTAGTGAATGTGTTCGAGAAGTATTTCTTAGTGTTCTAAAGAGAAGCCGTGACCAATTGGGTTCAACCGGATCTGTTGTGATATAGTAACTCACTGAGGACAATGGTGAACGTTTGGTTTAATTTCGTGGATTGTTTGAAGTTAGACCTTAACACCGTTGGATGAGGGATAGCTCAGGGGTCTAGAGGTTAAGCGTTAGCGCACGAGACTGACAGATCTTGGGTTCGGATTCCTTTGGCGAGTTCGTGGATGCGTTCTGCTGAGAAGTTTCATACTAGGACGTAACGACCTTCCAGTGCTTCTACGTTTTCCATGGTGATCTAGCTTTAATTTACTCATGAACTCAAATATTAAATTGAATCAATTGACAAATGTAATCACAAACTAATCAGTATCTTACAAGTAAACAGTCATTAATTCTTAGGAAATGAATCGAATATATATATATATATATATATATATATATAATTTTTTTTTTGGTTCTTTATGTATTAAAAATAGCACTACACAAAAACAATTCCCGAACTGTGTATGTGCCTATTACATTATCAATATTATTCAAGAAGATTGATGTTCTTTCATGGAAAGCATTTTATCATTGAAGCTTACAATCATTTATTACCTTGGTGAAATTAGTAACTGATTTAGTCTGTAATTTTCTTTGGTTATTTGATGAGAGTTGATTTTGTACCGGTAAATTAACCACGTTTATCTTGCTTAGATATGTAAATCTTACATACTTACTTACGCCTTTTACCCCCGATAGAGAATAGGCTGCCGGTAAGCATTCTCCAAGCAACTCTGTATTGGGCCTTTCTTCCTAATTCTATCCAATTTTTGTTCATTCTTCTCATATCTGTCTCTTTTTCTAGGCGTAACGTGTTCTTCAGTCCTTGTCGTCTCTTTTGACCTTGAAGATTCCCAAGTAAGTGTTTACCTTTGATTCAGTTGAATGCTTTCCTCAATGTGTGCCTTATCCACTCCGCCTGGAGTCCCTCTGAGGCTACTGCCGGTCCTAAGCTCGGATAAAGGAAGAGGGTTGGGCATGGTGTCAGCGACCCCATTCTATAGAAAACACTAACCAGATATGTGGATCTGCTAAATATATATTTGCTTTTTTTTGAAATGTGTGATGTCTTGCAAATTAAATCTGCAAAGTATTTATTTATTGAAGTGTGCAGGGAAACAAATACTTAAGTCACATTGCCGAAAATGATTGATAGACTGATGATTTGGCGAAATATTTGTAGATGATAAATTACCTATAAGTGCTTCAATTTGATGAATCAATATCTAAATATTACTGCTTTTCATTTATGTTTAAAGTATGTGTATGGGAAAACGTTTTGTTTATATGATAACGCTGTTTGTCGCACAATAGACAATCAACCTAGAATAATATTCTTACAGACTAAATCTAAATTAATCATGAATTCTCATATTTTATATTTTATAAAGTAAACAAAACAGCTTGGTGAATATTACCTTTCTGTTAGGAATATAGTTATTGATGGGAAGATACAAGGAAACAGCGTCATGTGAATTCAAACTTCATCCCATTGCACAAGCAGGTGACTATCAAGACTCAGTAGCTAAGTGGATAAAGCAATGGTGTTTGAAACAAACGGTATTGGGTTCGAGCTCCATAGTGAATATCAACTCTGTGATGCAGTTACATCCATCTGACGAGTCCTAAATAGGATGAAACGCGCGTCGTGGATTCCACTGCTGGACGCTATCCATCTTTGCTTATAGTGCTTTTGAATTGAAGCAATATCGAGGCAACCCGCACAGTATGCACATATGTCGATAAGAGACTGATCAGTCCTAGACAACAGTTAGAAGTTACAATTAAACAACACCAAGTGAATTTAGTTATTTATTTGTTATACCGTATATGAAATTAAATATTGAACCTGATTTCTCCCTGGTATTTACATATGGTAAAGTAAGCTTCAGTCACTTAGATCACTTGAAAAATCATAATATTTTTTGGAACACACTGATTAATTTATGGACTATGTATTTAAAATATACTGATAAAACCTATTTAGTTGATGGATTGTTACTTGAATGTCATTTCAGTTATAAATATATATTTTGGTCATTGGCGACATTTATTTATTTCGTCAGTAACACAAATCTTCGTAATAGAATCTCCAAAGTATATTATCAGCTTGGTCGATAGGGTTCGATTTGCACTAAGAAGGACCTGACATACATTATATTGATCACCAGCCAGTGATCAACAAATTATAAATACATCTCAGTCCTACAGGAGGTCAGTCGTAGCCCAGATAGCTCCGTGGTAACATCTCTGACTGTGAAACTGGGTGACATGGGATTGAATCCATCAAGGAGTATCAGTTTCCCGAAGTTTACAGGCACGCCTTTCTGACGATACCAATTAGCACTTGGTAGAAATAAATGTAAGAAAATTAAATAAGATGACATTTTCTTAGATGTTTATGTTGCGATTGAAGTGAACAATTTAGGAAAAAAATTATAAAATATATGGAGGTAGTTTTATTTAAAACAGATAAATTGTGGTTATCAGAGTAGTCAAGGTCTCGTACCTCTTCCTGCATGAAACTGGTCAGCTGACTGTTTTAAATCGAACTAAATGATATACATTTTACTGAGAACAATTATCCATTAATTATATAAAAGATTTATAAGATGGCTATATGAAAGCCATTCTAACAGGATGCAGATAAGTCAATAAAACTTGGTCAGAATTCTGGTCCTCAGTAACAACAAAGGGGTAATTTAAACCGTTTCGAATAAAGATATATATATATATGTGTATATATATATATATTATAGCTATATTATATATATATAGCTATCGAGTAACAAGTTGAACGAATTTAGTGCTTTATAAACTTCAGCAGTAACCACTATTTAAAATGTATATAGGGAGACTTTTGTTCAAAAAATGGATTGGTTGATGTTATACCTTAACACCATTAGGTGCCGGCTAACACAGTGGTCTTGTGGCTAAGCGTTTGCTCGCGAGACCGATATGTCCTGAGTTTGAATCCCGTGAGGCGAGATCGTGAATGGACATTTCTGAGGAGTCCCATACTCAGACAAAACTGCTGTCCAGTGCTTCCAGTGATTCCATATTTGTCTAGCTTTAATGGACTCATGAATTCGACTAATAAAATAAAATGTCTACCAATGAAATTGGATAATTCTATTTTAAATATCATAAATGAACTTGAATTCATAACAATGATATCCATGGTTTGTTTTGTAAAATATTATTATGATTGGTACACCGTTTAATTTTTCAATCTATTTTATATACATTGAGAACTGTATATTGTTTGAGTATTATTACTGTTATTATTCATGATGAACTTTAACCAATAAGAAAATAATAAAATAGGGAATGAATTAAGATAAATAGGGTGAATTCTTTTGAACAAAATTTATCTAATAAATAAACTTGATTTAGTAATCACTTAGTAACAAGTGAGTTAGACACGTTGTTAAGTTTACATTATCCGTTTTCTAAATTAGATATTCAATAAATTATTATTATTATTATTATTTAAGTAGTAAGAGTATTAGCTTTATTCAATATTATATCTTTGGTACAATATAGAATTCTCAGCAAAAAGTATTTCTACAAGTTTCCGTTTCTTACTTCTTCGTCTTTCCTGACGATAAATATTGAGTGATCGCCAGTTAGAAGTTAGCAGCCCAGTCAATCAACATCTGGATAATGTACATTCTTCTTGCTGTATATTGCAGTAACTACGATACCTCTGACTAGGTCTTTTGTAACTTATACAACGAAAGGTTGTACACTTTTCAGAAACACACCTGAATAGGTTGTGAGATTAATAGCCTTCATGATGTATTAAAACAAACGAACTTAGATAACTTGTTGAAATATCTAGATGACAGGAACAGGTAGCCCAGATGTTTAAGCAGGCCGCATGACATTCGTTTATTACGTTATTGATTAACTATTTTTATCTATGGACCCTTGACAACAATAAATAGCTATATATATATATATATATATAGAGAGAGAGAGAGAGAGAGAGTTCGTCAGTATGGGATTCCATATTTTCGTTTTGTATAAAGTCTAGTGAGTAGATATAGAGCAGAAGTATTCTTAGTGAGAATTATCTTATGGAAAGTTGAATATATCTACTGGTTTGATGGGTATTGTTATTGAGTTTAGATTTGTGTGTGGTGAATTTCAGTTTCATTGAGAATAAGAATGTTTATCATAAGGCATAGTGATTGTATAGAAAATTGTAAGTTTTAAGAATCAGGGGGCTCAGAATTGAACTACCAGGTATTACTCATAGGATGAAACTGTCTGATAAAAATCAACGTTGGTATGATGATACCTTGATTTTGTCTAAACTAATGATGTGCTCAAAAAAGTGGGTATCACTTTTCAACTGGAAGAATAATAATGAAACAGAACTATACCACTAGAGAACCTAGCACATGTATACCAAACTCCACATACTGAGACCGATAGCAAGTTATCATATGACGATTGAAAAAATCAAGTAAATATTCATATATAGAAGAAGAATAGAACAGTCAAAGATCCCAGCCTTTTTAAGTTTAAGTTATATATTTTAGTAACTAGCATTAATTCTCTAATTAAGATTTAATTATAGTCACATGTTTTGGAATGACTGTTGGCGATATTCTACCGATGAGTAGTCTACCAGGAAAATGGTGTTTGAAGTTTAGGCTATCTTTAATGAATTTGTTTAAGTAACGTTTTCTTTGAATTGTAAGTAACTGAAAGTTGGAATTCTCAGATGACCTTGCCTTTGCATCCTATACATACGATCAAATGCAGATGAAAACAACTAGTGTAGCAGCAGCCTCTACATCAGTAGACCTCAACATACGCAAAGAAAAATTCAAAATCGTTAAATACAATACGGAGAACACCATACAATCACACTTGATGGAGAAACTCCGAATTATATGTAAACATTCACGTAGCTGGACAGCCTAATCGATGAATAAGGAGGATCTGATGCAGACGTAAAGTCAAGGATTGGCAAAGAAATGGACACATTCATAGAGTTGAAGTACATATGGAACTCAAAAAAAACTGCCAAACAATATCAAAGTTACGATCTTCAATACGAACGTCAACACAGATCTACTGTACGGGGCTGAAACCTAGAGAACTACCACAATCATCATCAAAAGGGTTCAAATATTTATGAAGAATTGTCTATTCAAGATACTCAATATCAGTTGACCAAATACCATCAGCAACAGCCTACTTGGAAAGAGGGAAACAGTCTTTTATTTGAAGATGGAATTAGAAAAGTACGATGGAAGTAGATAGGGTATACATTACTGAAATCACCAAACTGTATCATTAGACAAGCGCCAACCTGGAATTCTGAAGGGAACCAAACAAGCGAAATGCCGAAGAACACACTACGTTGAGAATCGGAAACAAAAATGAAAAGAATGAATAGCAAGTGAAAAGAACTGGAAAGTATTGCCCAATACATAGTTAGATTAATAGTGCTATTGGATAGTCTATGCTCCTCTATGACAGGTAACAAATGTAACTAATTAAGTGAATAACTGGAAGTTGGTAATGTTAAAATTTGTTTACTACTACATTCAAAGTTTTATTAATTTACACTTTCAAATATAATTCAAACATATTTAGGACGATAGAAAGGTCAATCAATAAACATTCCCTAATCATGTAATACCTAAATAGATCGAATATAAAAGTCGGTAAAGTGGGTTCACAAAAAAAAAGAAGGAAAAGGAGGCAGAATGATTAATGTTAATCAAATAAGATTTCTATATGTATTTATTTCATTATATAACCATAGATAATCTGAACTAGTTTAGTTTAAATTAAATAGATACATATATATCTCTATAGTGTGTATGGGGGTGTATAACCTTTATTAGAAATTAATAATAATCTCAATATATTACTTATTATTTTATTTTATTAGTAATATAAATGGACATTTCATTTTATAAAGTAATACAATATTGTATTTAATGTTTATTATTATTAACTGGATTCCTTGATTCGTGTTATTTGATTTATTATTCAGAAGGAGTTTGATGTTTATTTTATTTTTATTCACTATATTGGTTATATAATAATTTGAAAGGGTAATTTGTAAAGATTTTAGTAATTTTATATAGTTGAGATCATGAGTCAATTGAAGTTAGACCATCATGGAAATCTATGTATCGAATTACTAAAATCTCCACAAAATCCCCTTCTAATAATAATGATCACATGCTCACTAGTGAATGGATCCATGAGGTATTTCATAGAGTTCTAGTGAGAAGCAGTAACCAGTGGAATTTAAACAGGTCTGTTATGAGGTATCAACTCACTGAAGACAATGGTGAATGTTTGCCAAATTTTGTGGATTGGTTGAAGTTGGACATTAACACCATTTGAATCCGACCAGATCAGTGGTCTAGTGGTTAAGTGTTCGCGCGCGAAACTGATAACTTTTGGTTCGGAATCTCGTGAAGCGGGATAGTGGATGTGCATTGCTAAGGAGTCTCATAATAGGATGAGTTGGCCGTCCAGTGCTTCCAGGTTTTCCATGGTGGTCTAACTTTAATTGACTCATGATATCAACTATATAAAATTTGGAAATAGTTAGTTGTATTAACAACTTATGAATATTTATTTTATATAATTGTATTCTGAGAAAGGTGAGTCTTGTGAAGACTGTAGTAATTCATTAGTTGAACTAATGAGTCAATTAAAGCTAGATCATCATGGAAAACCGGGAAGCACTGAACGACCATTTCGTCATAGTATGAGAACCTTCAGAAGTGCATATTCACTATTCAGTTAGTGGGATTCGAACCCAGGACCGTCGGTCTCGTGTGTGACACCTTATAAAACTCATGTTCCAGTATTCACTATTAAATTGTTGTTTATTATTTTCGACTAAAAATTTAGGTGTCTATTCTAATTATTCAGTTAATGTATGTCGTTGATTGTTATATTGTAAAATCAATTTTTTTTAGTGATTCATCTTGACAAGTGTACAAAAAGTGTAATAATAAATTAGAAGGGTATGTCAATTAAGTTATTGAGCTAAATTTGTAACTATGAAGAGAAGTTTTGATGAACGTTTACTCGTGACATACTCATGATCTATTGTTTCGAACTTTGATAGACAAAATGTCTACTCAGAACAGTTTAGATAGCTGATTGATATATAATGAAATTAAGCTATTGCTGTGTATTAAAACACCTAACTGTAAAGTTTCAAATATATTATCTAGGTATATTCCAATTGACTGTTAAACACTGTTAGCTAGTAGCATAGTGTTTCACTGTGAAGATGAAAATATATACTCTGTAAATCAATACAAATCAATGTCAATGTATTTCAATAACGCTTACAGTTTATAGAATAAGGAAAAACGTTTATTCAACACATACTATAAGGTTTCTACGTAACCAATATGTTTTCATATCAGCACTATATTATTATTAGCTTTATTCAATATTATATTTTTGGTAAAATATAGAATTCTCAAAACAATCTATTTCAACAAGTTTCCGTTTCTTAACTCTTCGTCGATTGCCAGTTGGAAGATAACAGTCCAGTCAGTCGACATTGGAATAATGTACATCCTTTTCAATGCATATTTCCACCAACCATGATATCTCTGATTGCGCCTTTTGTAATTTGTACAACGAAAGGTTATACACTTGTCAGGAACTCACCTGAGTGGGTTATGCGAATAATAGACATAATGATGCGTTAAAACAAACAAAATTAGATAACTTGTTGAAATATCCAGATAGCAGGAACAGATAGCCCAAATGTTCAAGCAAGCCGCTATTGATATTACAAGTTGTGATCAACACAATTATTGAATAATTTGTTGGTGTTATGTATCTGATTAATACGAATATTTAAAGGTTAAAGTTTTAATTACAACTAAGTCTTTATCTTGACCATTAAAATATATTCTTCTCGTTTTATATAGTTTAAATCATGAGTCAATTGAAGCTGGATCTCCGTGGAAACCTGGAAACACTGGACGGCCTATTGTGGGACTCTTCAGCAGTGCGCATCCACGATCCCGTCTCGCAGGATTCGAACCCAGGACCTACCAGTCCTACCAGTCTAGACATTAACACCGCTGGTCTATCGGTTAAGTGCTCTAGCGCGAGACTGGAAAAAACAGCCATCCAGTGCTTCCAGGTTTTCCACAGTGGTCTATTTTCAATTGACTCATAATCTTAACTATATAAAATTACTAAAATCTCCACAAAACTTCCTTGTGATATTCTCGTTTTATTATATTACATAAGGTTAATAGTAAAAGTTATGCAAAGATAATTTCCCTTATAGAATATTAACTATATTGAATAATAGATGTCAAGTAGATTTTGAAATAGAAATATCTGCTTCTTTTAAGTTACGTAATTTATTCACTATATAAATATTTTATTAACATACATTAGAATAAATATGAAAGTAATGGGATGACATAAATCATTACCCATTCATAAATTAATTTGAAATGATTTTCAATGAACATATTTACGTTATCAATCTGTCTTAATCAATAATTTTCTTTTCCTAATCTCCATGGTTACTTCGTAAGCGAGTTAACCGTAATTCACCATTTACTATAACAATAATTCAAATTGTGAATTATATAAATTTTATTTATCATAATCAGAGTCTGTTATATCGAGTGATGTGTGCCCTGTTTATATATGACGTGATGATCCCCGTCAATCAGAGGGGAGTGAATTATCGATCAGAGTTATGATACACAAAAGCCGTATGGGCAGTCTTGAGTACTTATCAATCCTGCTTATCAATCTGTCTAGCCCAGCTAGTTAAGTTCAGAACACTAATAACAGCCTCTGCAATATGAATCATTATTCTAAAACATACTGGATTTATATACCAAACAAACTGACCACATCATACCATAAAATACAAAATAACATTTGTACAAGATTTAGTCAAATGTGGCTGTGAATATAGGGAACAGTAATTAATAGACTAGGGATAACTCAAGAATGGTAAATCGTATAATAATAGTCTGTGGGTCAAAATAAAGCTTATAATAAGAGGGAAACGAATATGAATAGTTTAGTTAATTAACAATTATACAATAGGAAATATACATATCAAATCGGTCCATAAACAGTTCTCAAAGTTACCATTCATAAATCTCTACGGGATATAACGAAGGAATACGTTTTTGTCAGATTATATTAAATTATTAGTTTCAATTATTCAATTAAAGATTTTTTCAACATACAATTATGTAATCATTTTAACTGAAGAACATATAAATCAGTGATGTTTTTGATTGATCAGAATTTAAATAAAGAGAAAAAGGTAGATGAAAAAAAGGAAAGAAATCTTATTCAACTATTATCATTATGAAATTGTAATAGATGATAAAAAATGACGAATATCTCTATGGCTAACATTCTTTTGAAGATATATGAGATTCTTACAAATTGGACAAGTTTAATTTGAAACATATACCTGTTTTATATAGTTGATATCATGAGTCAATTAAAGCTAGACCACCATGGAAAATCTGAAAGCACTGTACGACCGTTTCATCCTATAGTGGGACTCCTCAGCAGTGCGCAAACACGATCCCAGTTCACGAGATTCCGAACCAAAAGTTATCAGTTTCGCGCGCGAACACTTAACCACTAGACCACTGATCTGGTCGGATTCAAATGGTGTTAATGTCCAACTTCAACCAATCCACAAAATTTGGCAAACATTCACCATTGTCTTCAGTGAGTTGATACCTCATAACAGACCTGTTTAAATTCCACTGGTTACTGCTTCTCACTAGAACTCTATGAAATACCTCATGGATCCATTCACTAGTGAGCATGTGATCATTATTATTAGAAGGGGATTTTGTGGAGATTTTAGTAATTCGATACATAGATTTCCATGATGGTCTAACTTCAATTGACTCATAATCTCAACTACATAAAAGTACTAATATCTCTACAAAACCCCCTTCTGATATATTTTTTTATTGTTTTTATAATAATAATAATCCTCGATTTATTTTACAGAATTACCATATATACATCTACATATATATAATAAATATATGAATCTCAAGATGCAAATACTTTCAATGACAATGTTTACATTCATCATCGTTTGTGTATTAATTACAAAGAATCTATTTATAAATGGACAATTAGCTGAATATTATATGAATGATGAAATACCTGAAGTGAATAATTATGATAATATCTATCCAAGATTTATTCATCATCATCATAGATCACAATATAAACGTGGTGGAATGTATGGTGGTCTATTAGGAAAATGAACATTTAATTAATTCAATGAATCATTTATGTATTTCTTCATCTGAAATAAAAAAGAAAAACTTTGTAACCTTTAAATAAAATTTGAAAAAGAAATAGTACTATCTATGATATATCATTGTATTTCTCAATTCTTATTAACCTAAATATGACTCTAAGGACTTACTTACTTACTTACGCCTGTTAGCCCTCGTGTAAGAGCCTAGGCCGCCCACCAGCATTCTCCAACCAACTCTGTCCTGAGCAATCATTTCCAGTTCTTTCCAGTTGTTATTCATCCTTTTCATATCTGCTTCTATTTCCAGAAGTAATGTGTTCATTGGCCTTCCTCTTTTTTTCGCTTCCCTTCAGGATTCGAAGTTAGGGCTTGCCTCGTGATGTAGTTTGGTGATTTCCGTAATGTTTGTCCTATCCACTTTCAACGTCTTTTCCTAATTCTCTATTCAGATGGAAGCTTGTTTGTCCTCTCCTATAAAACGCTGTTGCTGACAGTATCTGGCCAGTGAATGTTGAGTATTTTGTGTAAACAACTGTTTATAAATACTTGTACCTTCTTGACGATGGTTGTAGTATTTCTCCATGTTTCATCTCCGTACAGTGGGACTGTCTTGACGTTGGTATTGAAGATTCTGACTTGGAGTTTCATATGTTCTTCAATTGTAGAAATGCTGTCCTTTCTTTGCCAATGCTTAGTGGACAGATGCATTTTCAGTAAGGAGCGGAGTTAGACAAGGCTTTCTACTTTCTCCTTTGTCTTTCTTCTGGTGATTGACTGAATTATGAAGACCTCGACATTTGAGGGGAAACACGGACTCTAAGGACCCTCAGTAATCATTAGTCTATGATAATCCTATATAGTTTTGTGGTGAACATGAACACGAGTGAGAACAATCGAATGTATTTAGGCACAAAATTACAGAATATCTCACTTTAATCTGACAACTATTCCACTGACCTTAAATGTTTCAGTGGAGATGGAAATTTAACCAATGGAATTGTTCGTGGTTCTGTTTCAACATCTTTTTGTTTACAATATACTATTCGAATATTCTGTATCTTTTGATCAATCTAAACAAAACAAATACAGTGTAATGTGTAAAGCTATAAACTATGTATAAGGACGACATGAAGGACGGTATACAATAACATACTAAATTTTCACTTTATCACCAACAGTCAGTCATAGTTAGTCATAATCATTGAAAAACGTGGCACATGCACGAATCAGTTGAAGATGCTACACCATATCAACACAGAAGGACGAAACTATCAAAACGAATATCAAAGTGATAGTAGCAGTAGTATTGTAGTGAACACGAACACGAATGGGGACAATCGAACGTATTTGAGCACAAAATTACAGAAAATCTCACTATAATCTGATAACCATACAGTCAACAGTTAATTTGTTAACTATTAATCGATTGTCTCAATCTTGACTTTTCCTTCTGCAAATATCAATCCATCGTCTTTGATTTCATTGTTCATGCATTTTCATAGCAATTGGGTTCTATGCCCGTTATTGACTTATCAATCTTCTGCTGAATTACATCCTATGTTTGACTATCATCATACACTACTTATGAGGATATAAGTAATCCACACCACAGTTTAGCATCAAATATAAAAGTACATTATCCTAGTTATAAGTTAAATGGTTGTTCAAGGGTAGTGTAACTACAGATGTCCCTCAATTGGTCATTGTTTTGAAGCAATTTTTAAGATAAGGTAACAAAATATGACATTAACATGATTTATGATGAATTAAAGTAAGAAACAGATTCTGATAATTAATTCATTTTCTGGTTTCATTTAGACTGTTAAGCAATTAAACTGGCTTATAATAATATGATTTCTGTTTGAATATGCTTTTGACATTGTTTAGCATCAGATAGAGAATTATAGAAAACTTTGGATAACTCGTTTGTCCTCATGTAATAAACAGTTAATGACCTGACTAGTTTTCATCCGATTACATTCAAGTAGTATTATCGTTTTGAAAAACCTTTCTCAAATTTTAGTGACTCTCATTTCGAACTACATAGATGTTCAACAAGATGTAAAGGTTTTTATGATAAAGAGGGATGGAAATCTTGTATATTATGTGATGTATAAAAATATGTTTGAAAAAAGCGTTTACTGCATTCAATCTATAATGCTAAACGCCAATACAATACTTTGTTTTAAATAAATTTCAAGGGTTTAACAGTTCAGGTATATGCATTCTGATCTATCTCTACTACTACTGTGATGTGGTCTACTTATACACACATAAGTAGTATACGGTGACGGTCAGACATAGAATGTATTTTGGCAGAAGATCCATAAGGAACGAAGAGACGGAAATGAATGAACAATGAAATCAGAGAAGACAGAATGATATTTGCAGAACGAACAGTCAAGATTAAGACAATTGATTGTTATTTTGCAAATTAACTGTTCATTGTATGGTTATCAGGATTTAATGAGATAGTCTGTAATTTGTGTTTAAATACATTCAATTGTCCCCACCCGTTTTCTTGTTCACTACAGTACATATATGACTACATTCAAAAAAGCAAGCAATATTTATGTATGAAACTATGACAACAACCTTATCTCATAGATACACTTGTATCACAAACTTTACACGATAGAATTTACTAACGATACGTTCACAGTCGGGGATTTCTACATCTTGAACTACATATTAAAACTTTGTGGATGGTGTTCATTTTGTCAGTAAATTTACTTCTTATTATCAGAAGGGATGTTGTGGAGATTTAGTATTTCATAATTGCAAGCGTGAGTCTGTTTGAGATAGGAACTCACTGAAGACAATTGGTAAACGGTTGTTCAACTTCGTGGATTGGTTGTAGTTAGACATAAACACCATCGGGTGCCGGCTCACTGTTCTATCGGTTAAGTGCTCTGGCGTAAGACTGGTAGGTCCTGGGTTAAAATCTCGCGAGGCGAGATCGTGGCTGCGCAATGCTGAGGAGTCCCACAATAGGACGAGTTGGCCGTCCAGTGCTTCCAGATCTTCCTTGGTGGTCTAGCTTCAATTAACTCAAGTTTGCAACTATGAAAATTTGCTTCTATAAAAGAATATACGAACCATTTTAATATAGTCAATATATATTATGATGAGGAAGTGGTATTTTAATATTCAGATTAAACCTGTACATAGTAATTAAGGTTCATATAAACATGGGCAAAAATCAATATTCTTACTGAATAGGAAAATAAACAAAATAATAGGTCAAAGGGTATTATTAGATTTTCTCTTTACTGAATACAACATTTTCAATATAATTACTACGTGAACAACCAGTTCATTGTGATGATAATGATTACATAGTAGTCATTTTGAAAAGTCAATCTGAAACTATTTCGAACCTAGTTGATTTCGTTTATTAAGAGGTAAACCTTATCAAAAAATTTTAGTAACTATATACTGATTAGAAAATACTATACTGTTGCAACTGCGATTTATTTGTAGAACTCCTAATATTTCTGATTGATTTCACGTTTTTCAACTTAGGCTAAAAATGTGAGTGTTATAATCTTTCACAGTTGAAATCATGAGTCAATTGAAGTTAGACCACCATAGAAAACCTGAAAGCACTGGAAGGCCACATCGTCCCATTATGGGACTCCTCAGCAGTGCGCATCCACGATCCCGTACTCACGAGATTCGAAACCAGGATCTACCAGTCTCACGCCAGAGCATTTAACCGATAGAGTGTTATAATCATTTTTAGTTTCTTGCTGAAAATTAAATAAAATGAAAATGGAACAATCAAATTATTTGATAGTTTTGTATTCCCAAATATTCATAAATTTATAGTATGGTGTGTGCTACATATATCGAAATAAACAGTACATAACACTGGTCACGAATAGAATGTCTGGCAGCAGAAGATTAATAATGTCGAGAAGGAAAGAATGGGAACAGAAAGTAGTTTTATATGTAAATGAAGAAACCGCGAAATCTGAAACGATTAATAGATATTTGCAAAAGGAACAGTCAAATTTGAGACAATTGATTGTCATTTTGCAAATGAAGAATTTACAGTATGGCTTTTAGTTTTTACTTGTATATTCTGTGATTTTGTATTCATATACATCCTATTTTCCCTATTTGTTTTCTCCTTCAATACAAATGTATTCTTGTTTACACTTAAGATGACATTAAACGAGAATTCGGGAGTTTATAATTATTATTTGAGTGAATAACATGAAAAGTGAATTATTAGGTTGTTTGATCTTACTTTTAGCACTCAAAACACATCAACATCAGTAATGGAGAAATACGAATATTCATAAGTGAAATTTATATACATTGTATAAGGTGGTAGCTATCTAGATCCATTTTCACAGTCGGTATCTTATTGAACATGTTAGGTCAAATAGTCAGAGTTTGAATTTTGATGTGATCAAAAACACTGTGATATAAGTAGATTCAGTTGAAGACTTCCTCGTAGAGCAAAACGAACATTCTAAAATTAATTGTCAACTACTAGCCTACATTATTGATTACAATCATTGTTTGAATGAAATTGAAAACAATGAGCTTTCACAAGCTGATTGTCAACAGATTGAACTTATGTATCTTCACATTAATAATCAAACATATGATTTATGTCATATGTAGTGAGACATTTTGGAGTACCCATTGAATAGAAAGGGTGAAAATGGTATGACTACATGGCGTTGCTATGAAATTCGAGTCACATTAAGCAGTTAAATTCTGTCTCACACATAACGGATTTAATGCTAGAGAGTTATTTACAGTTTCCATAGTTAGCCGATTTTTCATTGTCAAAGTTTTAACATTTGTATAAAAGTTACAGCTAATCATTTGATTTAAGGAGCCCATTATTTTGCGAACAAGTATCACGACCTATGAACAAACTACACCATGAACTACATGAGTGTTGATCTATCTTCTGGTCTTCTGCATATCAGAGCTTTCTAATATCTATTTATTGGACCACATTATCTATTTCAAAATGGGATA